ACTTTGAGGCCTTCTACTTGGTAGCGGTCTGCTATCAACATCACTTGCAGCTCCATTTGCTCGAAGTCTTGCACCTGCCCCGAATAAAGGTACTCGAGGAACTTCTCGAAAGCTTCGGGCCAGGGCGCGTCCTCGACGGTCACCTGTAAAGTAAAACGTAACGGATACAATCAGTCGAAGTTCGTGCGTTGCAAAATGACCACGAAACGCTCGACGAAATGGCTATGCGCGTCCCAGTCCCAGTGACAATTAAAACGCAGTCAAGACGATATGCAATCCAATCGTTTGATGAAATTACATCGATTCGCCATGGGCGAACATGGGTGATATCGTTTTAAAATGGCATTTCCCACTATCGTCCCCTCACTCACCACCATCTCCTTGGCCTCCTTGAAGTCCAGAGTGAACATGCTGCGGAACACCGGGCTGCGCGCGCAGAGCACCTGCTTGTGCGCCGGGATGGCCACGTCCCCCAGCAGGAAGGTGACCTCGGCCAGCTCGCGCATGCTGCGCAGGCGCGCCCAGTCGGCGCACGGCCCGCACGGCGTGTTGCGGTAGTGCGTGGACACCCGCGCCGCGAAGCTCACGTCGTGCAGCTGCAGCGTTGGGGGCGCGAAACGAAACGGCATTTAAAAATTTAGGAGTCATTATCCATGAGGCAGTTAAAAATTGGTATCGAAAAAATGTCGCCGCGATTCATAAACGACACATGGCGATATCATTTCAATATCGATTCTATAAATATTGTTTTGAATGCCGTGCACGAGTTGTTCCCCGTGGCAAGCCGCGGGTGACACAAGCCCTCCCTACCGCCGCACCTCGGACACCTCGTCCACGACGAGCAGCTCCCCGTCACCCTTGAACAGCTTCTTGACCGTGGAACCTTTGACGGCGGCGCGAGCGTCGAATCTCGTCGACACGACGACCTCCACCTGATATCACGTACAGACCGTTGAGAATATGGCGGAATATCAGAAAGCAGTTTGAGTGTTGGGATTTGCAAACAACGCGGGCCACCTTGATGCAGAGGTTCTCGGGCCGCTCGGCCTGCACGTTGTGCAGCAGCAGCCGCAGCGACGAGTCGTCGTCGTCCTCGGGGTCGCCGACGCGCACGTCAAGCGTCCAGGACAGGCCGGCCGCCGGCGACTGGTAGCGGATGAGCGTGGTGGCCTCGCCCTCCACCGAGTCCTTGTAGGCCCACTCGCACTCCAGCGTGCAGAGGCGCGTGTGCTCCAGCGGCTCCCGCTGTGGCTCGTCCAGCCGCCCCACGGTCCGCGACTCCTCGGCCGAGTCCTGGGGGCGCACCGGTAAGCGTCGCCGTCCCTCTCCCTCCACGCAAACCCCTCCCCCTCTCCCCGATCGATTCTTTCGCTCCGCTGCTCACCAGCACCGGGCCGTCCTCGCTGCTGTCGAAGACCGTGGATCTGGAGAGGCCGTCTGATGCCTCGACGTCCCCCATGTCCACGCCGTCTGATAAGCTATGTGCCGCGCCCACTGTTAGAAAATACCACGGTGCTCGACACAACAAGACCGCCAACAACCTCGCCGCCCAGCCCACGCGGGGAAATGCAACAATGCCTCGATAACTCGGAAGACACCGGGAAAACCATGTTTTGTATTTATTACTCCATTTTATTTTCGGCAAAACAGTTGTTTGAACCAGAGTCTATCTAGCCGTTGACGCTGCGGATCATCTGCAAGAACGAGTACCACTGGCGCATGGAGTCTTTGAACACGGGGAGCGTCACTCCCCCCAAGAGTGGGACGCGCACCGAGCAAGCCTTCTGCGCTCGAGTCATCATGTTGAGGATGACCCTGAGTGAAACACGACCAACACGACGGTCAAATACTGTCGTTCCTTTGAGAACATGACCATCAAGCTCATCGCCCTCGGCACCACACCCACCTGCGCACCGGCACAGACTCCTCGGTCCACGGGCTGCCCCACACGCCCTCGCTCACGCCCAGTGTGGACGTGGCTAGGTTGTCGCTGATGGTGGCGATGTTGTAGTAGAAGAGGAGCGGGGCTGGCACGAGTAACGCCGTGTACGTCTCGAAGGAGCCCGTGGCCACGTTGAAGGTGGCGAGCAGCGACGTGGCGAGCAGCCCGGAGATGAGCACGAACAGGGTGAGGTAGTACGTGGTCGCCATGCGGTCGCCCAGGTCCATCAGCAGGTGGTGCGCTCGCGCCATGCGCAGCACCGCCTGCTCGCCGCTGCAGGTCTGCGGGGAGGTTGAGGAACAGGTAGTGCGGGAAGCCGGTTAGCAGGGGGAGCCCTCAAGTAACCGCGCCCGACCTGCATGCGCCGGCTGATGGTCCTGGCGAGCGAGGCGGCGCCGGAGGACACGAGCAGCAGCGTGAACACGATGGCGTTGACGCACAGCGGGCAGGTGACGGTGGCCACGTCCTGGGTGAGGCACACCAGGTACCAGAGCACGCCCTGCGGCTTGGGGTAGAACGACATGGCGAGCTCGCCCGTCAGCACCGGGCCCATGATCATGATGGAGGGGATGGTGACGACAAAGAAGGCCGTCACGTTGCGGACGGCCCGCATGCCGCGCACCGTCGCGCGCAGGTCTTGGAGGTCGTCCTCAGTCGCGTCCGCCTCCAGCTCCTCGGCCAGCACCACCAGGTCCTCCAGCATGCGCCGGGTCTGCGCGCGGCGCGACGTGAACGTCACCTGCGGCGCAGGGGAACACCGAGGGGTACTTCGCTTAAAAATTAGTCACGCCTCAAAAATTTTAAAAAAAATCTCAAGCAAATACACAAAAATTTGCGCATGATTGAATTTATAGTGCGAAGTACCCCTCGAGGAAAACTCGATATCGTCACGACATCAGTTGTCTATCGTTTCGATACGCCGTTTCGCATTGAGAGAGGTGCGGTGCGCATGCCTCACGGAAAGTGACATTTACAAACGATGTAGAAACGGAATTGAAGCGACGCGTACGTACGTTATGTCTTTTGTCATCGTTTCGACATTCCGTTTCGGTATCGGTTCGTCACTCCGCTTCGATAACGTTTCGAGCGCCGTTTCCCTCTGGGGACTACCAGCCCTGCGCTCGCCTGCCTGGTAGATCATGGTGCCAAGCATGAGGGCGACGTCCATGAGGGCGAGGCAGCGCTTGTCCAGGTCGGGCGAGTCGAGCGCGGCCTTGAGGAGGCTGCCCGCCGTGGCGACGGCCGCCAGCGCGGCCCCGTGCCTGCCCCCGCAGAGCATCTGCCAGAGCCACACGCGCCAGTTGGCCGGGCGCGCGTGCAGCGGCAGAACGGGCAGCGTGCGGCGGAGGAACGAGGACAGGACCGCACCTGTACATCCCCAAAACTGCAGGCATGCCTAAATTACATGTCCCTAATTCTATTTTTATGTCCGCCCTGGCACCGGGGTTCAGAAGTTTCGTCCTTCCCACTACTCCTCATTCCACTTTAATATCCACCTCGTCAACTCTCTCAACGTATATGTCTGGTCTGAGCCGTCACTTGCGTCTTCCCCGTTACTGCGAGTTTGGCCGTAGCCAGATCTCAAAATTCCATGTTCCGGGTTTAGACAGTTTTCTGCGAAACACTCTGATATCTTAACGAGACACGAGTGACTCAAGCTCACCTGACGGACCTGGCCGCGTTGACATTGTACTCTTCACCCGCTCTCTTGAGCGATTAAGACGGAGGCTATCTGATCCGCCGACCGATTGGGATTGGTGGCGTGACAGTGACGTCTATTCGCATCATCGTTAGTACGGGCTAGAGAGTGGTGTCGGGGTTCAAACTGTTTGCAGAGCTAGATTGTCTGTTTGACAGCTGCCTTGATGACGCTTTAATAGCTTGACGGGGAGGTCATACACAAACGTCCGAACGGAAGTACACATTGCATAATAGTAGTCTGTTAAATTTTAGGAGATAATTGATAAAGATTAACGCTTCTGTTGGTAAAAATCGCATTTTACTTTTCACGTGAGCTATCACTAAAATTTGCGTTTAGCATCAATAAAAGTACAAAATAAATACTAGATCTTTTTAAATTAGATAACTTCATAAAGTTCTTTGGTAAAGCTAGGAAAAATTAATGACAATTTCTTAGATCAAATATTTCTTTCTAATCAATGTAAGAAGCTTAATACAATAGCGAATAGGAAAGGCACAGCGTAATGGATTGGTACAGTTTTGGTTCCAGCTCCGGTACTGGAACCAGGGACGAATGTGAAAGGTACTTTTGGCACTCTTCTGTTGGTGCCAATCTCCTGGAAAAACCACGCGGATTTTTTGAGGGTCCGATTCAGTGAGCCGTTTTCGTAGTCCACGTGCACAAGACCAAACTTTCGCCTGTAAAAAAAAATAAAAAAATACAAAGGGTCACTCCAGTATGGCTGCCGCCCTTATTCTGGCGCCATATTATTTAACTGAACACTACAAGTTCCTACCCGAAATTGGCCGTCCACTCGTAGGTGTCGATGAGACTCCAGGCTAGGTAGCCCATTATGTTAACGTTCTCCTCCGTGGCGGTGCGGATCAGCTCCTGCAGGTATACCTAAAAGTGGAGTATAGGGTTAGCATCAGAGACGGCGAGGTTCCATACTCGCGTCACGATTAACGCTAGTTGCGCAGTGACAGCTCGTAGGAACGGGTGCTCTGTCTCCGCTGGCCAGCTGTACGTTCGTCCGCAGAGTGCTTCGAGCAGCGGACGGGGCAGGCCCGTCCGGCCGGCGTAGCGCCTGCGGATGCCAGGGTAGGCCAGCCCGCGCGACACTCATGCGTGCATCGGGCCGGATTGCCTACCCACCAGGCGCTCCGTGTGTGCCGAGTGCGGAGAAAACAAGAGGTTTCCGTGTCTCGCCCACTGTACTCACACTGTGGTAGCCAACCCTGGGCTCGTCGTCGAGGGGGTCAGCCTTGGGGTTGGTATTGCCTCTCTCGTCTCCCCAGCCGTTCTCCGTGATGAAGAGGGGCGTGTTCTTGTAGTTGTCGCGGATCCAGAGCGGCGCGTCTCTCAGCACCCAGGGGTTGGCCTGACAAAGGACGACCGCGTGAAACTTCTCCGAGCGACGCCTCGCCGTTCAGACACACGGCGGAAACGCAGGTGTGTGAACGCCATTCGTACACATGAAGGCACAAGTGTGTGAATTGTAGAGGAAAATTCACACCTCTGCTCCCTTCAGTGCACGATCGGGTTGCGACCCCGCCGCCCTCGCCCTCACCCGCATGAACAAGTCCCCGAAGAAGCCCGGCCTCGTGTCGGTGCCGACCTCGGCGGCGTCGCGGTCAGACTGGATCGTGCCACCGCCCGCGGGCCGTGGCTTCTTGGTGCCGTCCGCCACCGTGGTGCCCATGTACGCGTTGAAGCAGAGGAAGTCGGCGCTGCCCTTGAGTCGCGCGCGCTCCTCGTCCGTGAAGCTCGGCAGGCGGGAGGTCGGCCGGTTCTCCAGCGCGCTGTAGTGCGCGACGCGCTCCTTGAGGGCTTCCGGGTAGTCGCCGTGCACCACCGGATGGTAGATGGAGCCCAGGGCGAACAGGTTGCCGCGCTCGGCCGCCTGGATGTCCTCGTAGGAGGTGGAGTTGGGTCGGCACCACAGCGTAAGCGCGGCCGCTCCGATCTTGCCTGGTTGTTGAGTCACGTTTATTATCAGAACCCTTCGGTGGCGTACGGGTGTGCACACCCGGAAAAAATTATTTCGTGTGTCAAGCACTTTTCTACTAAAAGTGACCCAAGATTATTTTTTTTTCTTGGCACGAAGACAATTTTTCCTTTGTAGCAGGATCTTAGGTCAAAATGAGCTTGGAAGATAAATTTTTCTCTGTGTGTGGCAGGAAAAGTCAAACGTGACGTGACCTCACCTCCCTGGGTCTTGCGGTACTTCTCCTCGTACACGCGGTAAGCCTCCATGTGCGCCAGGATCGTGTGGTGGACGCACTTGTAGTCGTCGCCGACCTGGGGCTCGTACAAGCCCGGCACGGGTAAGAGGGCAAAGTTCATGCAGTAGTAGTTGGCCTCGTTTATCGTGGTCCACAGACGCACCTGAAATATGTCAAGTTTTTAAGTTTCGATGGGTCAAAACTTGCGCGATGAGTTCTTTTGCCGTTTTGCATACTTTGTCGCCGAAGGTTTTGAAGAGAAAGTCTGCGTATTCTCTAAACGCTGGGACGATAGCCTTGTTAGCCCAGCCTCCAGTTTTCTTGAGAGTTGCGAACGGATAGTCAAAGTGGTTCATGGTTATCTGGAAAATCGATTTTTGTTTTGGGGGCCCTTTTTTTTTGTCAAGACTGTCCTAATACACCTCGACAAAAATATGAGTCGGATTACCATGGGCTGAATGTTGTGCTTTATGAGCTCTTCAATGAGATTTTTGTAGTAATTGACGCCATCCTGATTTATGACGGACGTGTCCCCTTCTGGAAGGACACGAGGCCATGACACAGAGAACCTGTAAACTTGAAGCTAAACCGATAATTGTCGTTAAACTTAATTGTCACAAAAAAATCGTCAGGAATTATTAAGTTTTTTGATCTGGCACTGTACCTTGAGGGCGGCTGCCATTGCCACGTCGTCCTTGTACCGATGATACGAGTCTGCGGTTACGTTCGGCTGTTTCATATCAGCATACGGTGGTGGCATCTCATGCTGAAGGAAAACGTCCATAACGCTCGGGCTTTTCCCTGCGAGCACACGGGGGCAAAATAACACTGGTCAAACAGACGTTTAATCAATCCGTCACTTCACTCTCGGCAGTCTCGGTCTTTTCCCAAGTATTCGCGAGGTGATTCGTGATTTATATGAGTCACAGGGCGATAAGACCAAGAGACACTTGCGTGGCTGTGGCTGGTAAACGCAAGAGACGCCGCGAGCCGCGCTGGCGAGCTAGACTCGGGATGCTCGGATTTGCGACTCCGGGGCAAGGTTGTCAAACAACAACAACAACAACATGTGCCATGTAAACGATGTCGTTGGACACGTAACGTACCGTCTACGTTCCACGCGCCCTCGACCTGCATCGCGGACGTGCCAGCGCCGAACAAGAAGTCCTCCGGCAGCGGAACGTACTCCATCGCGTCCGCGCCCGTCTTGGGAAAGAGAACACACTTTCGGTATAACTTCTCGTTCGTACCATGAAGAAATTCTTCAAGAAATTATTCATAGTACGAACGAGAACATTAGTAATACGAACGAGTTTTGTTTTTGTATCATGACAGCACAAATATTCTTCATACAATAGAGAAAATACTTACTATACGAAGGTCGACGTACATATCACGATCGACCTCTCTTGAGGTGCCACCACACTGAACGCTTTCGGCATGCCCGCGTCTGCCGTGTCCGCCTCTGTCCGCCCGGACAGATGTCAGTCTTTGCCAACTTGTTGACGGCGAAAAGTACGGTCTGACATGTCGACGGGCTGACAGAGGCGGACACGACGGACGCGGGCACTCCGAACGCGATTAGTGTGGAAGCATCTTTCGTTATACTTCTCGAGTTCAGGTAAAAAAAAATCTCACCTTGTGAACGCTCCCGCGGTCGTTTTGGCCGATTATAGACGACTGGCCGACGGCCGCGCAAAGGAGCAACAGGACGAGACGTCGACAACGCATGGCGGCGACCCGCAAGGCGGTCGGAAGCAAAGTGCGAATATGCGAACCGCACGGGTGATCCGTCGAACCTGGCCCTGTGCCGCGGCCGTGGGCCCCTGATATAATCACGCGCCGTCGATGTCGAGTGCGCACTCGCGCACCCGTCAAGTGCCTCCCACACGTGGACCGCACTGATAAAGGACGACAATCACAACTGAACGACTACCGAGAACGATGTGAAGCACAGAGGGCAAGGTTTACGTAAGCGCCACTCGCATGAGAAAGGGGCGCTGGAATCTCCGCCACCGCCGGCACTGAAGAACCTTTTCCGCGTGCGTAGGTGTCGTGGTCGAAATGAGAGAGAGACGACAGGGCATAGCTAGCCGGAACCTCTAAAGAAGAAAAGCACAACTCCTCAATCTGCTTCCCTCTGCGCGCTTATAGGCCGACCGACATGTCGAGGTCATCGTTGACCAATCAGCATCCAGGAAACAGATCGAAGTCATGCTTTTCTTCCTTAGGTTCCGATTGGTTTCAGTGGGCTTGCAGCCGAGGGGTGGATAACTCCCCTGCCAAGTATGTGCACCCCTAACTCTGCCCAATTCAATCTAATTCAGACCAATTAAATTAAATTCCAACGAATTCAGAAATAATTCAACTAATTCAGTCAATTCAAGACAATTTACATTCAATTCATATCAATTCACTTCAATCCAAGCCAATTCAAGTCAGTTAACGCTAATTCAGTAAAATTAAATCGCATTAACTCTAACCAATTAAAAAACAATTCAACCAATTCAGTCCAATTCAAATTCAATTCAAGCCAATTTAAACTAATTCAAATTCAATGCTTGAATTTGTACACCCAATTCAGAAGTTATCCACCCCTCGCTTGCAGCGGAGTACCGTATTTCGCCTCAACCAATCACAGCTATGATAAGGCTCGTCCTACATATTTGAGTCATAAGCACCGAATTCTTACTCTGAAGGAGTATCGGAGTAAGATTTACCCCCTGACCTCGCCCAATTGCAGTGACGAACCTCACTCTCATTGGATGAGCACCGTAAATTATCACTCAAATTGAGTGAGAAAAATAATCTTTGTCTCAGGAGAGCAACATTTTTTTGTGTCACAGATCTCGCTCTCCTAAGAATAAGATATCTAATATCTATAGGACTTGTAGAGTTAGCGCCGCGCGGCGCCGGGCTAAAAGCGTGCTACGGCGGGCCAGAGCGCCATCCTGGGTGGGGGGTTATGCCTCCGACCTATTTTTCTCCGACCTGGTGATTTTTCTACAATCCCCAAAAGTGCTTTTCAACCTAGATCTTGCATGACCTAATTTTCTCCGACCTATTTTCCTCCGACCTCGTCGATATGCTGAAATTTGGGATGAATGTGCTTCAAAGACGAACAGGCTTCAGAGGCCATGAAGGGGTACTTTAAGTGCAGTGAGGGAACAACCGCGACTATGATGGAGTGCAGCACCATGTCACGTGTTCTAGAACGGTCAAAGGTCCGCTCCGAGCCGTAAAACCCAACTCACTCCCTCCACCCGGTCAAAATAATTAAAAGTTGGGGAGCACGCCCCTCACCCCGCAGTCGGCGGAGACTTCTGAGTTCTGACGCGGATCAGCCGCTTCCAACCACATGTGCTCATCAGAACATTCTCCCGGTTGCTGGACTTACAGGTGTCGCAAAGTGAGCAAGACTGAAACCCATACATTCCGCGGCCTTACCTCCGAGGGGCCTACTAACTTTTTCAGTCCCGAGGGGTACGCGGGTATCGAACCCACAACCCCGAGTGCCGAACCCAATCGTCAGTATCAGCGACCCTGCCACCAATAAGCTACCAAGCCAACGGAGGCGAGCCGTGTTCCGATTCTACTTGAACTTCAGGTCGGCCCTTAGGCCGTACACCAACGCCTTATGGAAAAGCGAAAAATATTGCGGAGCCTGGAGTCGAACCACCGACCTCCCACGCTCTGGGCGGATGCTCTACCGACTGAGCCATAGAGGCGAGGTGTTGGACAACTCTCCAGGTCGCTCCAGTTAACCAGCCATTTTAAGCAGTCACTGGCGGCTAAAAAAAATACAAGTGTGTAGGAAATTTTTTGCTTGCCCACCGTACTAATTTGTGCGTTTTTAAGTGCGGGGAACAACATCTCAAAAATTGGCGATAACTTTTTGGAGGTTAATTTGGTGACAGGCAAGCCGGGACCCAACGCCAGTAGCGCCAATGCGCATTAAAACGCGCATTGAAGGTTATACATTTTTGGTGCATTTCATGCGCATGATGTGGCTAATAGATTTTAATTGCGAATAAACTGTATTATGCCTTCACTTAAATGGGGGTAGTCCCCCAATTTTCTATTTTTTTAATTTTTTTGTTTTTGACCGAGTGGGGAAGTTGGTTTTGAGCATTTACGGCGCCCAGCGAACTTTTGACTGTTCTGTGACG